TAAGTACAAAAGATGTCTTCTGGAATCAAATGGATAATAATATTTTCTCCTTTTGGATTCTAGAGAAGCATTTCTATGTTAAAGGCAATCTCCATGGTCCTTGCAAGTGGAATTTTTCTTGTTGCTATAAGAATTCTTGGTCAACGTTATCTTCCTCATCTCCCCATTAGAAAGCACTATCACCCGGATGTTTATCCAGCCAACTCATCTGACATGATCTCCATTAAGCATCAGTCCATGGAATCTTGCAAGGTACATATTTTATTAGTTCATCTAGTCTTGTCTCTTTCGAGTTCATTTGTTGACTATACTCTGCTTGCTGTACCTACTTTGTTGGTTGCTTCATATGAGGGTAGAGAAGTATCTTGTGTTAATTCTCCTTTGAACTGTTGCCACTATCTCCAAATTTTTACTGTCTAGACTGTTCTGCTTTGAACAGTTGCTTCTTCGAAGTAGTTTCACCTCCTCTGTGTTTGAAATGCTTTGATTTTTTATTTATTTTTGATGAATTAAGAAGTTTTCATTAAAAGCATCAAGAAGATGCAAAATCAGAAGTGATTACACTTAGAAAGAGTGTGACTGCTTGTGTACAACAAAAAAGCTATGATAAACTAAGGAGCAGACACAGTCCAAAAACTGGTCACAACTGACTTAAGGGGCCTGATTAAACCAAGAAAATAAGATTAAACAATCATTTATCTTTAAGAACATGGTTCAATTTTCTGATGTTTTCCTATTTTCTCTTATTTGGTTTGTCAAAATATTTGGAAAACATGTTTCTTAAAAAAGAAGAAAATGACTTCCAAGCTATGATAAACTAAGGAGCAGACATAACCAAAAACTGGTCACAACTGACTTAAGGGCCTGATTAAACTAAGAAAATAAGATTAAACAATCATTTATCTTTAAGAACATATTCAATTTTCTGATGTTTTCCTATTTTCTCTTATTTGGTTTGTCAAAATATTTGGAAAACATGTTTCTTAAAAAAGAAGAAAATGACTTCCCTGGTAGAAGTAGGGAAAACAAGTTTCGTAGGTGGACTCACTAAATGTCTAATCCTCACAATCCAACACACCCACCCCACCCCCAATACCACAGCCCTCATCCTCACCACCTCCACACCCCTAGGGCTGGCCCCCCAGCCAACCCCAATAGTGTGCTTTGATTATAAACAAATGCTTTTGGGATAACATTTTCTGCATATTTACCAAACGCCAGAAATAAGTAAGAAAACCACTTATTTTCCAAAAAATCATTTTTGTGGAAAGCGTTCTCCGTTATACCAAACACACCCTCAGTTCTGTTACTTGTCGTAAGAAGTTTTATTATTTCTATATTTGTTGTCTTCCATATTTACTATGACTCTATAGTGGATGACACATGCTTTGCATTATTGGCCACTTTTATTGGTTTCTAAGCTTTTTTAGTTGATTATCAATTTGCCCTAGGCGTTGTGTTCTTTTTATCAGTAGATAATATTGTTCAATTTCACATTGCCAAATGCTCTTTGTTTCTGTAGTTGGAAGATTACTGTGTCTCCATCATTAGGAGAATCAAGGAATTTTATTGTTGGCCTGGAGATATAGTGATGGGTTCTGGAAGCTCTGCATGGATTGGGGAGCTTCCGATATACCTGAAGTATGAGATGGATTCCAAAGATTTAGATCTTAATTCCAGCTCCACGCCATCAGAAGGAATTGAAGATGAGATGAAAGCAGCTGCACAAGATATTGCCAGTTATCAGGTCTCTTTTTAGGATGCAGTTTCTGGGTTTATTTTCTCTTTTTTGTCATTTTGATCATAAAAACACAACATTAGTTATAATCAGTGTAGACATGGTTTTGTGCTAGTCATGGTCAGAATCAAGGACAATGGAAGGCTTTGGTCTTTTGTGAACATTAAATCAAATATATTCCATTGGGAATAAGTGAGAAGTATAAGAGCTAACCGCTGCATTTTATGCACAGGCACAATTAAACAAGCTAGTTATCAAGCTTGAATACTTGATTTAGCTTAGATCACGCCATAATCCTGTTCACAACTATAGGACCCCTTGATAAATGATTCAAAATATCCTGAAATGAGCTAATTGGAGTCAGATTTGCACTTCAACTTCACGAGATTTCTGAATTATAAAATTTAAGCATTGAAGATCCTATTGTCATTGCTACTTTTTTTTTGTTCTTAGCTCCTAGCACTTTTGATTTTAGTTTTTCTTTCCTTGTCAAGTCCTTTCTCTGCCCTTTTTAACTAATTCTTCTCATCCGAATTTCAACTCTTGCTGTTTATGTGTTTAGGTCACTTCATACCACTTCTAGGTCATGTATATTTCTTTTCCTGCCACTTTAAAAATGTTTCTTGATGTCAATTCTAATTTCTCTCATGCTTAATTCCTATGATTGGTTATTCCAAGTCTATAGTTGCCAGTTGAACATGGCTTTAGATTTTTTCATGAATATTTACAGCTGACTAGTTTATATGTTCTTGGAAGTTGTTGGTTAAGATATGTTAATCATAGTTTATGTGCTTATATACGTTTGCCAATCAGGTTGTTTTATCTGGGGATGGTAAGATTGTTGAATTCCAGCCTACAAGTCGTGTTGCTGTAAATCAATGGGCAGCAAACCCTTTAGTGAAAGAGCTCTATGGAGGGAAAGAAATTTCTCCTGGTAAATACAAACATTTCACACTAGCTGTTTCTTTAATTGATTGTCTAAGCCTATGAAGATGTCAGTTACTTAGCTAGGACGATTTTTGAATGCAGGCTTAATAGATCGCCCTAGTGATGTTGTTGTACTGGAATTATTGATGTCAGCAAATCCCCAGAGTTCATTTGCTTTGGTAAGACCAGTTACTGAAAATAGTAGATGAACATTTTTGCACCTTCACATTCAATATTTGTACAACTAGTTACAGTGCTGGGCAAGACTTTTTCCAGGTATAAAGGGGAAATTTACATTTCTTTTTTGTTTCATCTACTCCGCCCCCCTCCTTAATAAACTGTAATGTGAGTTTAGTTGGCAGCGCTGCACCGTAGTGTGGTTGAAGAACAACCTTTGATTTCTCGCGTTAATGCAACAGCGAGCTAGTCACAATGTGTATAGCCAACTTTTGTACAGATGAGACATCCTCGCAAACACTTTTGTCTAGTAAATTGCATCCACTAACAAGGAAGCAAAATACTATTGTGTGGAAGGGAGTAAAACACCTGATCCATCCCAAACCTATGTTTCTCGGACTCTTTAAAAATCCTGATAGGTATGTGTTGAATCCTCCAAAAGTAGGACATTTATGGAGGATCAACAAATACAAGGTTTTTGGTCAAAGCTACTGAATTCTGCCGAAATAGTAACTGGAACTCTAGCTCTGCCCAATTGGCATAGAAGAAAAGAAACACTTTTCTCCGTTTCACTGTTAAGACTTATTTAACATGCATCTCAGCAGAGGCAGATCCAGAATTTTAAGCTTGCTGAGATAGATCCAAAATTTTAAGCTTGTGGATTCGTAGTAAAATAAACTAAGATGCAACATAATCGGCCAAAAACTGCTTCTATGACTCCTAGGGAAATCATTCCCGCGTCAGGCACGAGAGCACCACAACACGATTCCTTCTTTGCCACCGAACCAACATCTCCTTTTAGTAATGGATTCTCAACTATCAGTTTCTTATATAATTAATGAATTCTCAATATAAATCCAGAGTTCGGGCAAAGGCTGTTGGGTTCTCAGGAACCTCCACCCAATACCCTAGATCCGCCCCTATCAGCATCTGCATTGTAACATTCAAGTCTATTCCAAGTATTCTGTAGCAACAAGAAAGTTTCCTTAGCTGAAATTCCCTTGATATACAAATACACATTGAAAAATATAAAACAAGTAAAAACTTTTAAGCTAAATGTACTTCCATCCCCCCACAAAATAATGTGCTAGTAGTTGTTTTGCCTAACTTACATTTGTTTGAAAATGGGATTTGCATCCCCTGATTAAATCAAGTTGGTTGAATCATCAGCTATAGTTAGTTGATCGATTTTCAGAGGCGGATCTAGGGCAGGTTCATCAGAATCCATTTTTTATATACCACAAAAGAAAAAGATCGCACTCGTTCTGAACCTGCTGACTGACTCTAGATACTGAATTCACCTCTTGGATCGATCTTCTTTTGCTTTAACCGGAACAACATCCACCTTTCTTGACAGCAGATACATCATCTTTCCCAATGTTAATTGTTTGTCCTCTTGGCACAGAAGTTGGATCATCTCCTATATCAAGAGCTTTTCGACTAACCACTCGATAAATCTGAGTTAGCACTTCAGTGAAAGCGTTTTCTACATTGAGTGCCTCGAGTGCGGATGTTTCCATGAAGAACGTGTTCTCTCTTTCAGCAAAACCGCTGGATTCCCCCGTGGGGACGGCTCTGAGGTGGCGGAGATCCGCCTTGTTCCCGACGAGCATGACAACGATGTTTTGGTCTGTGTGGTCTCTGAGTTCCTTGAGCCATCTTGCTACATTCTCAAATGTTACATGGCGAGTTATGTCATAAACCAGTAAGGCACCAACTGCTCCTCTATAATATGCACTTGTGATGGCACGGTACCTTTTTTATGAAAGCAAAGAAAGACAATTAGAAACTTGTAAAATTTTAATAAGAGATCTTAAATATACATACATACACACATGACGAAGGGTGGTCAGTCAAACATCTTTCAAACGAAACTTATTCTGTAGGTCAAATGTCTTTTCGTTCATATATACTAAACCTTGAAAGTATCCTTGAACACCTTTATTGAAATTTCTGACTACGCTACTGTAATAAGCTAAGCTTGAAGGGATTCAACAATATATGTATGATGAATTTGTATTTATTTGATTTACAAAGTGTTAATTTATGACTAAGAGGATTCAGTTGAATTCCTTTTGGACCAGGTAGCTCCGCCTCTGCTTACACCCCCGGGGAGTTTCCTTGTGGAGGCAATGTAAACCTTAGCTAAGATTGCTAAGCATCCATGGCTGAATGGTTAAAGTGCACGACTCATAATTGACAAATTTGTAGATTCAATTCTTACTGGATGCATGCCTACAATGTTGCCTATCGTGTCAATGCACAGTCGATTGTAGATAAATAGACCCCCCATAAAAACTCAGCGGTCTAGATGGCATTGACTATTTAAGCTAGGATACAACACGTACATGCAACAATAACAACAACAACAACAACATACTCAATGTGATCCCACAAATGGAGTATGAAGATGATAGAATGTACGTAGATCTTATAATCCCTATCTTTTTGAGGCAAAGAGACTGTATCCAATAGACCCTCGGTTTTAGAAAAACATTTCAAAATAAATTCGAAAAAACACAAGGGATTTTTGAATTTGATTTAAATCAATGGCAGATCCAATAATAATGTAGCTCTGGTAGGGAAGTAGATTTAGAACAAAAAAGAAATGTAATTCTTGAAACAATGTTATTCAATAATAATATTAGTGTACCAAAAAAATGATTATGCAATGAGTTTCAAAATTTCATAGGTGAAACTTCAGGAGTTTTCTTTAGTGGATCTTAGAACTTCGGAACATTGACTATTTCTCCATTATAGGGACTTGAAATAGCATAACTCATAACGTCTAAATTTTGAATTTGCTGTCGTTACGAATAGAAAGAAAATGTGGGGGTTATTCAATAATAATATTAGTGTACCAAAATGATTATGCAATGAGTTTCAAAATTTCATAGGTGAAACTTCGTGAGTTTTCTTTAGTGGATCTTAGAACTTCTAACATTGACTATTTCTCTGCTTATAGGGACTTCAAATACATAACTCATAACGCCTAAATTTTGAATTCCGCTGTCGCTACGGTCAGGCAGAAAATGGGGGTGGGGGTGGGGTGGGGGTGGGAGTATAGATATTGGCAACCTTGGCCAGCAGTAATTCTAAATTCAGCCATAATCTTGTCATCACATGAATGGTTCTTGCTGCAAATTCAAATCACCTCACTGTAGACTTAGATTCTTGGCTAAATTCATTTTTTGTAAATCTAGAAAGCAAATTTGATTTGCCAACACCAGAATCACCTATAAGAACAACTTTGAACAAGTAATCATAATCTTCATCAGCCCTATGCCCCATTTTCCCTACCCCCTTTTCAATTAATTTTCTTTATTTTATTGTTAGTAATATTGACCTTTTTTTTCCCTACATATGAATTGAGAAAAAAAATTGACTTTCTTTTTTTGAGTTTATATATATTTTTTTCCTTCCTTTTCACCTCTTCACAACAAGATCTTTCTTGTTAATTAGGTTTTTTCACTCTTCTTTTGGATGGAGAGAGAGAGAGAGGGTGAGAGAAAGAGAAAAAAAAGTGGCAAAGACAGAGAGAAAGAGAGAGATTAGAATGAAATGGATTATATTAATGATTAATGATTTTTACCAACAAAGGGAACAAATCACCTCCTTTTTTTTGTTTAGGAAGGATGTGAGAGGGAAGGGGAGTTTTTCTAGTTTGATGAAATATATATATATATATATATATATATATATATATATATATATATATATATTTTGTTGTAAAATTAAGCCTATATTATAATAAAGATTCCAAAAAGCACAAGGTACCCTAATGGTGATTTTTAGTGGTTCTCTTCCCTTTTCTTTATTTTTTTCCCCTAGAAAATGTAGAGGAGGAAGGGTGTGTTTGGTACGAAGGAAAATGTTTTCTGATGAAAAATCTTTCTTGAAAGTGTTTTTCTGATAATAATTGATTTTTTTTACTTAGGTTTGATTGTTGGTAAGTAATCTAAAATATTATCTTTTAAGAATACTTATATACTAGGCAATAATTATGATGATGATTAGGGTGGGAGGAGGAAAGGTGATGGAAGGAGTCAATCAATGTGATGTTGGTAGGGACGGGGGAGGGGGCGGGGGTGAGTGAGAGATTCAGATATGGTGGAGCCACAATCATTTAGAATCGCTTCCTTGTCAAAACTTTTTTTTACCCTTCCCACGGAACTCTCCTCTTGCTTCTGGGTGATACTCAAACTACAACCTTAGAGTTGGACAGAGGATGCTGCATTACTTGAGTAACCTTCTAGTTTTTCTGTCTTCCTAACTAAATTGAAACAAATGGAGTAAAATGTTTTTTGATTGCAGTATCAATACTACTATCACATTACACACATTGCGTAATTTTCTTACGAGGAGGAGCCACTGACATGAATTGTCATTTATAAAACATATTTTTCCTACATAAATTGAAACAAAAATACAGAGTAAAATATTTCTTGGATTGCTAGTATATCAATATTCACATTACACATAGTTCAACGGCTGCTATTTGGTATGATAAAATGTTTTACCATCTTCGCAGAAATGAATTATCATCTCCTTATATAATTTTGAATAATATTTGATTTATGAGTTAACTTTTTAAATTGACTTAAATCGAAGATTCATCTTCTTCACAACATGACATTACAGCTAGACCCAGACGATTGTTAGTCTTTTCAATATTAAACCGTCAGACATATGCTTGTTCATGTCTAAATGTACTAGTCGTGAGGCATGTGATGACCGATGGACACAGTTGTCACAGAATTCAAGATTTAAATCTTTGTAAAAACACCTTTAAGATTTATAAAGATTGAACCGTTGGAATTTTGAAGAATTGTGACTTACTATCTCGTTGGGTAATTCTTTTAAATTAATTACAGGAAATTTATATTTCTCGTGATCGAAGGAGTTGCGCTCGATGAACCGCAGCGATAGTCACATTCACTCCTACCGGGTTGGGCGCAAATATATCATCTCTTGTATAATCTTACGAATGCTTAACTCACGAACTAATAATTTTAAAATTGAGTTAGTCCTAAGTTTCATTATCACACTTTCATTCCTCTTATGAGCTATTTTCTAAAGGTTGTGGAGGATAATTCTTCATAAATTATTTATACAATTCAATTTCCTTTTAACATTGTAAAGTTTTTTTAAAATAATTAACAAAAGATTCAATTCATCAATTTATCTTTTTCAAACCTGAAGCACTTGTCGATCAACTTGGTCACTTAGTCGCTGGGTTCGTCACCACTTCATCCGCCTTTGCTGACGTTGTCCAAGAGCTCGGTCTCTTTCGCTTTCGGGCCGTCATCAATGGGGGAAGCACGCGATCGAAAAGGAATAAAAGGGTTCTCGCTAAATAAAACCAAAGTCTCCACAATCCCTTACTCACCTCAGCCCATCCTTCACCCGAATAAGGACCACTACCTCCTGGGAAGCTAACGTAAAGAGATGGCAAGAGTCCGCCCTGCTCTTATAATATTCTTTCTGTGTTCTATCACTCAATTGATGGCCTATCCAAGAAAGAAATTAACGATTTTTTAATTGTTTTTTAAAATTTAATGTTAAGCCATTATCTACTTTTTAGACACTAGATTGATTATGTTGAAGTTTCCAAGTAGTGCATTACCTTGTCACAACTTTATATAAAAGGTGGCCAATCAATGAATTGTACCATGGAGACAAGGCCTAGACTTAATGTAACATTCGAGTCGATAAGGCTAGTAATGTTTTCGCTATTGGACTTTCGCCAATTTCAAAATACTATCTAAATAACTACGGGTAAAGAGTCAAATAGGTCAGACATTTTATAATTTTTAAATTATATATTTTTAAAACTTTAATTCAACAATTATATAATTTATTAAAATAAAATTTGTGTCATAAAATAGGTAAATTTAAAATATAAATTTATTTTCAGATTAGTTATATATTTAATCAAATAAAATATAAATTAATTGTAAGATATTCCACCTAAATTATACGACCCTTAAAATATTAAAATCAAAGAATTGGATGGCGTTACCTATCGTAATAATATTTATTTTGATTGTTATTTAAATTTGGTTAGCTCGTATTATTAAATTTATCGTCAGATAATGTTGAAAAGTTTTATTTTATAATGCATCGATTGTGCATTGCATTATTACACTTATTAACCTTTCATTTTGTCTTTACTTATTATTATTTAATAATTTTTTTTGAAAACCTGTGATAACCGGGCAATGTACAACCTCGCCACAACCTCTGCCTTTTAAGGAGATTTCAGACGTGTGTTCCCATCAAACACAAATTTTTCCACTAAGGATCATTTGGTTGAAAAATAATTTATCATTTGAGAAAACTATTTCAGACAATATTTCAAAATTAATATCTCAAACTCAATAAAATCAAAAATAATATCATAATTTTATAATTAATAATTTCCTAATAACATTTGCAAATTTTTATATTGGTCCTAATTACTCTTCGGAGCAAAGTAAAAGAGAGAATTCTCGAAAGCAAAAAAAAAATTCAATGAATTTGAAAGAATTGAGCAGCTGCGTGAGGTGAAAATGTCATGTACGGTTCCGCAGAGCCGCAGCAAGTGCAACTAAATATAAAATAGATTAATTAAAAATTAATTTAAAACTATTTATTTCTTTTCTTTCTTTGTTAAAATCTGCAATTACTTCAATCATGTGAGATTAATACTAAGAAAATGTACAATCAAAGAGCTGATTCGGATTCAGCAATTTGAATAACAGTCTGTACAAAATCATGGACCCATCATCAGTCTCAGCAGATGAATTAATAAGGATTAACACTGCCACCACTTCAGGTTCCACTGTGAAGCTTAATGGCATTTCGAATCGACTATACAATCTTCACTGCCCTTGTAACAATTTTGTAATGTTTATGTTTTCTTTTTTTTGTTAATTGTCTGTTTGATTTTGTGTTGTTATAAGTATCGGTCCTATTGAACTCCTAAAATTGATCGCGGAGATTCTGTTCCACCGAACTTACTTTAATTTTTCTTTTTTCTGTACTCCATCAATGCTGAGCTTGTCTTGAACCCTAATTGCGTAAGAAGCATTTGGGGCCTTTGGGAGTTAGATATTTCCATTGTATCTGAGTATACAAACACAGGTTTTTGTGTTTCGACTCTATGTTGGATGAATTTAGTGGTAGTTAAATGCAGAGGCGGGACCAAGATTTTAACTTTATGAGTTTTATTTCTTTAGAATGATGGCATC